CAAGGTTTATGGCAGCACTTACTAACTTAAACAAGGAGTCCATCCAGAAGAGTTACAGGAGATTCCAAAGTTATCTGGAGCCTGTGGTTGAAGCCAATGGCAATTTTATTGAATAAATTTACTCTTTAGTATTTTTAGATATTTTTGTGCAATTTTGGTAAATATATCTATTAAAATGAGATGGTGTTATTTTCATTTTTGCATAATTTAGATGACAATTTATCCATCGCACCCTCCCGTGTGTGTGTGTGTGTGTGTGTGGATGAGAATCCAACTGGCAGAATAAAGAACAAATAGAAATATTTATGAGCATAAAAGGGATTTACATTTGGACAACTCTTTAAACTTGTTTGTAATACACATGAACAAAACTGGTCATAGCTAATTATAAAGAACATAATACATGTTGAAAGTACTTCAAGAGAGTCCTGATAAATATTTTACCAACTATAAACACTAGTCAAAAACACTATATTACAACACCAAACTCTACCGAATCAATTCTTAAAGAATCTAATGTATTTTTATCTAAAACACTTTACGTAAAAAATTTTCACAGATCAACATGCGGACAACCACCAAACATATTTACTAGATACACACACTTATGAAGTTACATTATCTGAATTCCACATAAACAAACTAGAATTATGATACATATATTTTTTTCAGTTAAGCTCTAAAAAGAATGCAATCTCTCCTTCAATTTGGAACACTATAATTACCTACATTGTTTAACAAGTCAAATGTATGACTAACCAATGAAAATCAAGCACAAAAATAAAAAAAAAACATTATTTACATTATTCGGACTATTGTCCTCATCTTTGTCGCCATATTTACAATGATTTGGCCTTCTTCTGGTGGTTGGAATTTCACACAGGGGTAGACTGTACTAGTTCCACATGCCATGTTTAATGGATGTGAGTTATCTCCTGTTAATTTTTCTCTGAAAGTTCTCTACTGCCTTGACCGGGTATTGAACTCACACTCTTTGGGACTTGTCACTGGATCTAACCAACGCCTTTATCCACTGGGTATTATAAACCTAATGTCTCCACAATAATAGTCCGAATAATGTAAATGTACATAACACCTCATCTCAGAAATATAGACAAAAATAAAATTATCAGAATATCTTTTTATTCTCCATATCTTATTCTCTGATGAACTTTTAATAAAGGTGAAACATGCTAGATTGATAAACATTTCCTATCCATCCTTTTATATATATATATATATATATATATATATATATATATATATATATATATATTTTTTCTGGTTTTTATTCATGTACACAAGATCTTTTTAAATGAAATATTCCAAATGGTCATAAAATTAATAAACATTCATGAAATTTTGTTGGTGCTGCCGAGACATTTAATGTCTCAACTGTACCAGCAAAGGACAAAAAAAAAAAGGACATAGAACTGTAATTAAGCAAGAATGTTATATGATGTGTGACATAACCTTCTACTTTGTTGTTCCTTTGGTAGCCTCTAACAAGCTTGTAGATCTATATATAATAAGCCTAACAAGAAGGAGAGCCTTTTGATTTTAGCATCAGTTTTATAATTACTACAGTCAACAACCACCAGGCCGTAGAAATATATACCAGTCATCGAACCAAGGAATTTATACCCTCTTGTTGAACAATCGGGCTTACACTGATGTCTCTATTTTTTTTCCCATGAAAAAAAAAAAAAAATTCTTCCAAGTTATATGTTGCTTTCATAGACAATGGAATGAAAAGAATTCCATTTTTTCTGCTTCTTCAATCTGATTATTTAAGTCCTCATTGCTAAATTCATGTGGTCTCCATTTGCGAGACAACTTTTTTTTTCCCCAGTTGTTTTGATAGCCAAACCAAATCAGCTCCATCCTCTCCTTCTATTCAGAATAATGAAAAGAAACAGACTTAACTGTTTACGTAATTAATCCCTTTCTGGCATCACAGGTAAAAAGTAAACATTATGTATTAGCGTAAAAGTAGGGCATCTAAAACAAAGATTTTAAAATGATGAAATTGCAATATAGAATATGATATTGATATTGTTATTAATCTTATCTCGAAAAGTCAGACATAAAACATTTATTAACAAAGATTTCCCTAATTATACTTTTGACTATCAAATTAGTCTTCACTGACACAATGTTTATATAACCCTAATTATAAAAACAATGAAGAAACATAAAAATGATAATACACTGACATTAAACCTGTAGAAAAAAAATAGTCATATAACATTTATCATTCATTATAAAAAAATTAAAACCACAGATGGATGCTGAGGATATCATGGATTGAACATGTGAGCAACAACAAAGTTTTTAGAGAAAATGGAATCAAAAAGAAAACTTATACTTATCAGGGAGAGAGAGGTGAAATTTCTGGGGTACATAATGAGGAAGGAGGGCTTGGTTGGTTGGGTTTTATGGCATATCAACCACTGTAAAAGGAGGGCTTGGAAAATCTAACAATCACAGAACAGAGTGAGGGCAATAGGGACAGAGAAAAACAGCACATAACATACTTGATGAGCTTAAGTAAATGGATGGCAAAACAGGGTTTAGAAGAAAATGAAAAGGCAATTTATTAAGTGCTACAAAGGACAGGAAATTGTGGAGAGCCATGACTGCCTACAACCTGAAAGGATACAACACATAAAGAAGAAGAATCTAATTATTAAAAATAATATTTTTCAACCCACCAAACCCCTACATAAGACTAATGTTGTTTACAAATTTATCTGTCCATTTGGAGATTACATATCTCTAAATAATAAGTAATAGATCTCTTATATAGGCTACACAATAACCACTTATTCCAACAAACTTGCATGCCATTTATCTGAACAAAGCACTATTAAACAGTACATTAAAAAGCATCACAGGAACTATAGTAACTTTAGACAGCTCCTTACAATAAACACCAAATTAACCCAAAAATAGCAAAAATAAATAAATAAATAATATAGCTAAAAATTATGGAAGCCTTCTACAGACAAAAACAAGCATGCATTAACAAAAATAATTTCCAATCCAGCATTCAACGCATATGAAAAAAAATTGGTGCAACTTATGACAAGTGGCATGACTTAAAAGTTTATTTAAAATATAACACATTAAAATGTACTACTTATGATTTTATTCACATTATTTTACTTATGCACTTATTGTTTATAATAGTCATAAATTCACTACCTACACAGCTCTGATGATGACTCACAGGAGTCGAAAGCCAAGACATGCCAATTATATGAACTTGGGAAATTCCATACATTTGCAGCTGCCAGTTTTTTGCAATGTTGAGAAAAAATAAATGTTTAAACTTAATCAACATAAAATGTCTATAATTTTTAATAATTATATATATATATATATATATATATATATATATATATATATATATATATATATATATATGGGTGCATGGCTGTGTGGTTAGAACAGTCTTTTTGAACATGATACCTGGGTCTGGATCTTACCATGGTTGATTTGTCAGGAAGGAGACTTCCTGATGTTATCCGTCTAGAGTGGGGACAATCCCAGGATGCAGCACCTTTGGAAATTGCCTGAAAACCATGTCACAGGTTGACCCAATCCTTGTGAATGAAATTGGGTAGATGGAACACTTGGGGCTGTCAATAGCTGTGCTAGCACAAAGTCAAAAGTCATCGTGACTGAGAGTTTGAATGTGCTAGTGTTGTTCAGATTGTTGATCATTCTAGATAACACTCTCTCCCAGAAACTGTAACTAAGGTCTGCCCAGCATAGCTGCAGTAAAAACCACAGGTTGGCTCTGTGGGTGTTGAGCAAACACAAATGTGCCTGATGGTGATAATGAAAGTAGACAAAGATGGGTTCAATGTTATACAGTCAATGACCAGGTAGTAGCCAATACCTGATTTCAAGAACACCCAAGATATGCAGATGACAGTGTTAAAAGCAGATACAAAAACTCCTACAGAAGGTAGTCAAAGAAAGTGAAGTTAATCAACTGCAAAAAGACAATGTATGGTTGTTAGCAAAAGGATGAGCCCAACATGTAAATTACAAATTAAAAATACCAAAATAAAACAAGTACAACAATTTATATATCTGTGAAGTGTTTTAATAGAGGTGCAACACTGAAATCCAAATATGCATTGAGATAGAGAAAGATACCTTTCAAAGGCTAAGCAAAGTACTAAGAAATTGAAAAATTTTGTTAGAAACAAAGAGAAGAGTACTGAACTGTTATGTGATATTGGTCCTATGGCAGCAAAAAATGAAGAGACTTGAAGCAACAGAAATATGGTTTTACAGAAGGATGCTGAGAATTCCATGGACTGAATATGTGAGCAATGCTAAAGTTTTAGAAAAAATGGAAACAAAAACAAAACAAACCTAACATCAGGAAGAAAGGGCACATGAGAAAAGAGTGCTTGTAAAATCAGATACTCACAGGACAGGCTGAAGGCAAGAGGGACAGAGGAAAACAATACATAAACTACTTAGTGAGCTTGAATAAATGGATGGCAAAACAAAGTTTAGGAGAAATAATAAGATGAAACTATTAAGGATAAGAACTTGTGGAGAGCCATGGTCTCCTAGATCCTGAAGGGACATGGAACATAGAAAAGAAGGAGGATCATTTTTAAATTTTTGACCACAGTCAGCATATTTTGGGCATGTTCAGAGTTGATATTACTGACTTATTATTATTATTATTATTATTATTATTAATACTTCCATTATTTTTAACTGTTTTTTAGCATGTGGATGAGTCTATTATGGTGGTTTACTCCACAAGTATATTATGGACAGAAGTTGGTAGGTCTGCATGCATGTTAAAATGGGTCCTGATAGAGCTAGGATATAAGAGATTTAAATTAAACTATATATATATATATATATATATATATATTCAGGCAGTAGGACTTCATGTAAACAAGTTTTGTTAAACCAGGTCAGTTTTTTTTGGGGGGGGGTACTTCACCAATTTACAAGTTGTTTTATGGCAAAAAAAAAAAAAAGAGTGACGAGGGGAGGCCGAGAAAGAAGAGGCAAGAGGTGGGGAGGCCGAGAAGAAAAGGGGCAGCAAGTGTAGACAGCAAATGAAAAAGACTACAAGGGAAGACAGAGAAAGAAAAGAGACTGAGAGGAAGTAAATTTAGAAATTTAAAATGAGAGTATGTTTAGAAATGAAAAAAAAATACCAAAAATAGAAACTGAAAAGAGAAGCCATTGACCAATGATAGAAAAAAGTGTGAAAAGTCTATGAAAAAAAAAGTTGTTAGAAAAGAAAGAATAAGGGGGGGGGATGAATAAAATAAAATTTAAAATAGAAAATGAGGGAAAATACAGAATAAAAAAATTATTTTATTCAGAGTTTCACTTTTCAATCCATTAATTCAAATCCCATGTGCTTTCAGGAAGAAGAAAAAAAAAGAAGTCATAATATATTACAAATTCCCAGCTGTACCCTTGACCACTACTTCAGTGTGGTGCCCAGTCTTTCTGCTTTTGTGCCACTTGTACACAATGGAAGAGATATACTCCTATAAAACATGTGGAAAGACAGGTTAGTGTCACCTTTAGAATACTACATCATGGCTACACATAGAAAAAAAAAAATACTAGATACAAGCTCATGGCAACCCAAAATAGGAAGTCGGTTAAGTGTATCAACAAATCATTGCAAACCTTCACCCATGACAACAACAATGTGTAATGTCAAGGTGGGTGGTTCTGGAGTGGAAATATACTTACACAAAGCTACTGTAGTCAAAAGATGAAATTCAGGTGACAAAATAAGAAACAGTCAATATATTTTTTTCTACCATTCCATGCAGAATTAATTATAATATTAGGTTATAAAAACATTCCTGCCGAAACCTGTTGTGTTCCCTTTCACACTTCTGCTCTTGGGAAATTAATGAACCCATTTCTTCTTCTCACCACCAACTCTGGGTTAAATAGAAGAGTAGAATGAGCTTTCAAGCCTTTGATGGCTGCCAGTCTAGAAGAAGGACAACCCTTAATTCAAAAACCTAACATGGTATTTCATGGATAATAAAGTAAAAGGAGTCTGATGAGGCATGTTTGCCAACATCCTGAATGGATATGACATTTAAAAATCGATAAATAAAGTTGGTTGAATTTGTTTAGCACCATATCAACTTCTATGGGTTATTTAATGCCAAAATCTAAATATTTTGTACATAATTTTATGCTTTCATGGTAAAGTTATGTTTTGTAGATATATAGTTTGTAGATCATAAAAGGTATTGTTAGTAATCTATCTATAAAAAGCAGGATGTGTGTGTGTGTGTGACGAATGCATGGCCACAACTTGGCGGATTTGCACCAAAATTTACATGCACATGCTCCAAGTTAGCGGGAAGGCCAAGACCAACTTTGCATTTCCCAACTCCTATCGATAGTGGAAATAATCGATTTTTTCATGCTTCTACAGCAGTTTTCATGTAGTTTGCGGCCATTTTCTACTGGCCAGAGTGAGAGCTAATAGCCAACTGCCACAAAGAGGCAGGAAGATTCTATTGGCCAGCATGAGAACCAACACCTGACTGACACGAATGTTAACTAGCATGCAAAAAAAAAATCAATAGCTGCATTCATCACAAGTGGGAAAAATTTAAATCTGCATGGCACTTTACTCCAATTGGCTCATTCGCTTGCTTAAACTCAATGTTGATTCTGATTCCGCAGAACTGGGTTGGGTGTGAAAAAGTATTTGTTGTTAACATTCTTTTTTCATTTGGTTTTTCCAGTTATGAGTCCTTTTTTAAAGCTGATTGTTTTGTGTTCATTTTGTTTAGTTCTTTTTTTGTAACAGATTTAATGTTTAGTATAGAGCTTAGAAAAAAATTTTCAGTGTGAGATAGGCAAGAAGTAAGGCATGTAGCAACATCAGCATGGCAAAGGATACTCCTTTAAAGGCAAGAAAGGGCAAAAATATTTTAAGTCAAGTGATAGCGATTGCTGTATGAGTCGTATGATTTTTGAATAAAAAACGGGCAACACCGGGCCATGCTACTAGTTTCACTATAAAAATGTCTTTTTATATTTTTTTAGTGTTGCATTGATTGTCATTTTGCTATAAAAATCTATTGTTTCTCATTTTATTATAAAAATGTACTGTTGATTTTTTGGGAAATGGGAGGTCTACTATAGCGGAAACCCCAACAGGTGCTACCACTCAGGGTCAGGGTGGACCTGGGACCAACAACTACTAAGAGGAAAGCAGCAAGTAACCTACTCAATCAGTCTGAGGAAAAAATGGTTGAACAAGTACAATAGAGACATTTGAATCGATTGATTAATTGATTTGCCTTTTTTTATAGTTTATCAACCCATTGTGGGTTATTTAAATCTGAAACATATTTTGGATTGTAAGTATTATTTTTTTTTGCCAGTAAATATTTACAATTTCTTGAGAATAACAATGATTTTTCCAGAAACAAGTCCTACTATTTAACTAGAGGGGAGGAGATGGATTCATAACTTTTCCAAGGGTATTTGCATATAAGTGAATGTAACCAACTTCAATGGAATTTGAACTCTGCTCTCTGATTTTTTATTATACTCTGCTATACATGACAACAATAAAGACAAAGAGGGATGATAAATAAATAAATGCTACTGTGAATGACAAAAGACAGGAAGTTGTGGAAAGCCATGATTAACCACCTTTGATAGGACACAGTGCATAGAGAAGGAGAATAAAAACACCAACATATTCAGACTTCCTGAGTTTTTTGTTTTTTTATCCTTCCACTCCAAGCAAGGCAATAAAGCCACTAAAACACAATGAGTTACTGAATATGAAAGAATCTAAGAAAGCCTTAAGCAGAGAGAACAATAAAAGAACAGGAATTAATGAGACAAATGATGATTGACATTGCATTTAAATTTTTAAAGATCAAAAGTGACTGGAAAGAAAAAGCCGAACAAGACCTCCACAATGAGAAATGGGAGAAAAGAAACTGTTAGCATAGAACTTATGGTTACAACTAGCCATTTAATCAGTAAAATGAAGAGACTTAAGATAATTATATAATATTCACATTGCTACTGTGGGTCAGAAATTTCCCTTTTTAAGAAATAATATTTGTTATTATTACACTTAGTTATAAATAAAGAAAACTGAGAAAACATTGAACACACAACATTTTATTTCCAAGTTAAACTGTATATTTTGCATATTCATTACTCATTGGAAAATGTGAAACATAAATCCAAAGATGCAGTGGAGTGTCAAATGATGCTTTCCAGAACCTAAGCAAAATATTAAGAAACAGGAAAATTTCATTGGAAACAAACCTAAAAGTGTTCAAATGTTATGTAATATCAAGCCTCCTACATGGCAGTGAATGGTGGATAATTTCCTCACAGATGAAGTGATTTGAGGCAATAGTGATGTGGCTGTAGAGAAGAATACTAAGAATACCATGGAAGGAACATGTGAATAATGAAGAAGTTTTAAGGAAAAGGAGAATGAAAAGCATGCTTTTACTTAGGATCAGAAAAAGTTGAAATTCCTGCGATACAATAAGGAAGGTGGGCATGGAGAACTCACAAGACATGACGAAAGCAAGAAGGGCAGAGGAAAATAGCAAGTAACATACCTAAAAAGATTTTGTAAATGGATGGTAGGACATCAACAAAGAGAGACAGTAAGGGGTCAAACATTGCTTAGTCCAAAAACGGATAGAAGATGTGGAGAGCTATTATCCCCCACATCTGAAAGTGTCTTGTCACTTAAAACAAGATGAAATATTTGTAGAATACATGTCAACAGAAAGAATGTGAGAAATGGATTCAATTTCTTTTGCTGCTAAAAAAGACATTAAATCTCCAGATTAAGTGATCTTGCCATTAACAATGGCAAACAGGGGAGTTAGAAATCATACAGGTATTTATACTTATAGTATTTTACAAGAACACAAATGCAGTTGTAAAAAAATTAAATAATTGCCCAGGGAATGCTTTGCCATGTAGGCAAAACTGCTTGGGTACTTGGCAAATTCAGATGGGAGGGAAAAATCTGATGAACCATTTCATTCACATAAACAAATTCAGTTACATTATGAGTGAAATATTTGATCTGATGAGAACTGAATAAAACGTCATATTTCAATCTGAAATGATTCAATAGGAATAACAAAAAAAAATGACTATATAAAAATCCGCCTAGCCAATGTCAATCCCCTGTAGAGGATATGGTCACAGCTTCACTACACTAGATGTTCCTGCTGTGGTGTTTGTAGCAGGTAGGTTTTTATAAGGTAGAGTTCCAAGCCCCATACTCAACTTGTTTTAAATTCAGTTAGCTTTCTCCTAGACTGCCAATCAAAGCCAGGGAGCCCAGTCTGCCCTCCTATTTAACCATAAACTGTGGAAGGTTAATTGCAATTGTTAAAATCAATTCAAGATAAAACTCTGTGCTATTCATTTCTATAAACTTATTTACATTTGGACTTGTCATCTTTGTTGTTATGCCAACATTTTGGCCATTGTGTCCGCCAGTCTTCATCAGGTGTATAGCAATCCAGGTAACATACAGAGAATTCCAAAGGTAGAAAAACATGACAAAGAGCAACAGCACTCATCAGCAGGCAGATTATGTTTACAGGACAAGTTTCTAGTAGATTAAAGTGTTGGGTGATGAATTTGATGGTGCAGTAATTATGTGTAAATCCCTGGGCTGGGCAGTGTGTATTTGGATACAGTGGCTAACATGACGAGCAATAACTGAGCAGTACTAAATATAAGAACTAGACAAGCTATCCCTGACAGTGGACAGTAGAATGAGAACAGTCTGCTCCATAGATTAAATAAAAAGTTCAGTTCAGAATTCCCTGTAGTTTACTCAAATTGATATAACCTGATGATGGCCAGAGAGCACAAAAGCTGAAACATGATAGAGATGAGGACAATAATTTGAATGTAAATGTAAAAAAAAAAAAAAAAAAAAATGATAACTCCTCAAACCAGAAATTCAGTAAACATATTTAAAAATTTTATGATAAAGTTAAAATATATCAAACAAGTGACAGAAATGTATGAAAATAAGACAAGTTTATTTTAACACATAATAAAACAACTTTTATTCCTGTACTGCCTGAGAACAACAAGGATTAGTTTAGATTTAAACCATGAATTCCACATGCATGTCAGCTTGTCACAATGTTGGATTCAGAAGTGCTGTACCCACCACTAGCAGACAAGGGAAGTAACTCAAATGTACCGTATTCTGAGTTATCCTTTATTGGGGGAGTAAGTTAGCATCCTCTAACAGAAAGGTTAACATATAATTTAAATAATCAAGAAATACTTACTAGACAAAAATGTTTTACTCTGAATAAAATACATGGAAGCCTTTCACCTTGAATAAAATCCGATTTGGTGGGGTGGGGGTGATGAACAACATTTCATACTTCAAGCGCAAGATCTAAGAACAAACAACCCAAACTCGGAACAGTTGTTAGTAAGATTTTCAGAAGGAACAGCAACCATAGAATGCACCAATATAATTAATCTTTGGATTAGCTGGCGTCACCAAACTTCTTTCCTTTTCAAATACAAGAAATCAATCTAAACAGAGCAGCTGTCAATGGAATGCATACATTTTTTTTTCATTTCATGCTCTGATGAGATACAAGATAGAAAGTGGCAGCATTTCAGAAGTCTTTAAAAAATAATAAACAAACAGCAGAAATATTCCTCAAACAGATTCCATACATTTCTCCAAAGCTGAAGATACTCATTCCTGAACTTGTAGTTAAAGATGTTCAGTTGGTATAGAAGATAAAAAAAAAAATTGAGGTTAACAAGTCTATCAGTTCTATTCTCAGACATCAATGAATTTTCTTTTTTGTAGCTCACTAATTTATACTTCTTTTTTTATTTGTAATTCATGTTAATTTATGTTACTTAGTGTGAATTGATATCACTCCGATTTACACCTCCAATCAAAATTCACTATCCACTGCAGTCAACCAGTACACCAAACTTTACATTCGTTTTATAATGACCTTAGTTTCTAGCATCCAAGCAGATCCCTACATATTGGGCAAGAGGATAAAGGGGGCACTTTGCAGACTTCCAAATAATTTAGCTTTTGGATTCAGACTTCACCTAAAAATAAAGTCTTATTTCAATTTCAAGAGAGATTTCAAATTGCTTTGAATGTTCAGACTCATTCATGAAGGGTCAACATCCTTCGTGTTCTTTGATGTAAAAAAATACAGGAACAGGTTCCCAAATTTCATGCACAAAAAAAAAAAAAAAAAAAAAAAAAAGCTGATCATTTGAAATGCTTTCAAATTTCACTTAAATTTTCATCATAAACTTCGGAAGCAAACCAAATTCAAGATACTCAATACCAAGAAATTATGATGAGAGAACTATGAATAAATAAAAAATTCTGTTGAGAACACAAGAAGCATTTAAAAATTGAAAAATTAAAAAAAAAAAAAAAAAACATCAAAAAAATTAAATTAAAATAAATTGAAAATTTTATAAATAAATGATAAATTAAATAAATAAATTAAAAAATAAATTAAATTAAAAACTATGAATAAATAAAGAAATTCTGTTGTGAACACAAGAGGCATTTAAAAATTGAAAAATTAAAAAAAAAAAAAAAAAACATTAAAAAATTGAAAAAAAGAATATTAAGGTTCTCTCATATGTAGTTTTTATCTGTAATGAAATGAGTTTTTACATAATATTTAAGCAATTTTATAAATTTAGATTTATGTCCAAAAGGATAATTCTTTTTCTTATTCCATAATCGATCTTTTTTCTTTTTTTAATCTATTACTGTTTTAAGTAATAAATACGAATGACAATAGGTTTGCTTACTTTTAAACAAAGTTTGAAAATAAATCACTTCTTCTAAAATCTATTTTTTATCCCCATTTCTTTTTTGTTGGAATTTTTAACTCAAGATCATTCTTCTTGGTCAGGTTGGACAAAGACATCTTTGGCAGCAGCATGTGTGTGTGTTTTTAAGCAAGTTTTATTGAACAATACTGACATGGTGTGTCAGTCTGTCCAACTACTTATTTAGTTTTTCCAACTTCTGAAGTTTTTTTGGACATATTTGATTTATCCTGGGATGATTTCATTTCTCTTTCAATGAGAGAATGTTCAAATTTCACTGTGTTAGTGTCTTACTCAACAGTATCAACAAGGTCTGTTTGTCCAAGTTTTTATTCAGGCTTTCCAAATAAGTGTTTTTTTTTTTGTTTTTTTTTAAATCATTTTACCCCAAGCAAGGCAGGGATGCTCCTACTACTACTACTACACAGAGAGCTACAAAGAGTGAAAGTTAGAGAAAATACCAGCGGGGGGGATTGAGGAAAGGATAAAAGATGAATGGGATTCAAGAAAATAGATGGTTATTGACATTGCATTTAAATTTTTGAATTCTTATCGAGGAAGCAGGTAAATGGAAAGGAGTTCCACAGACGATAAGTGTGAGAAAAGAACCTGTTTATTCGATGTAGTCATTCTACTTAAAGTTGAAAAAGTGATGCCAAGAAGGTGCAGTGTGTTGCTCTCCAGAAGTCTAGCATCAGTTATAACAATTTTTATTTTGTTTCATTGGTATTTTTTATTTTACCATTGTTAGAAATGATTCATGATAATATTTCTTATATAATATTATATTGTACATAGGTAGGTTTGAATAAAATTTGCATTTTATATACAAATACTATATTATGTAAATTAACATGTAATAGGACCTTGTATTCAGACAGGGGGGGAGAGTTGTAGCTCTTAGTTTTGAGATTAATTCTATTTATATAAGAAATTTACTTACCGGCAATGGTATAATCCATGTCAAAACCCAGAAATTTCACCTTTTGCAACATGAGACCCCTGTTGACAAAAATTCTGAAATAGAAATAATAATTCATTCATTTATGAAACCTGCATCTACTTAATATTTTTTTCTATAAAATTAATACTTTACATTTAGTGTCCAACATATTGGTAGTGTAACAGTTGTGCAGAACATGAAATCGGCACGCAGAGTTTAAATCCTACCATGAATTAAACAGTAAACTGGGCTCTCTAGCCTTGCATGGTAACAAGTATAAGAGAAAGGAAACTCTGAATGGGAAACCACATCATAATCTCTTCCAACAATGTGTAGAAATTCACAGAAAATAATGACAAGGAATTTGGAGAGTTATGATTACTGAAGGAATATTGCAATCTAAAAGAAAAACAAAACTTGATATCACTGCATATATTTAGTAAGTTTAGTAATTAGACTTCGTATAAAGAAAATATGGTTTAGAAAATTTGACAAAATGCAAGAAATCCTGTTTTTACACTTTGAAAGGACTTTTTCAAATCACAGTACTTCCTTGATTATCCCGACACATTATGTTAGGATAATTCAAAATTCTGGAAAATTTTATCAAAAAAGAATGAAAAAAAAAAAAAAAGAATGAAAAAAAAAAAAAAAAAAATTAAAGTCATCTGGGGAAAAAAAAAAAAAAAAAAAAAAAAGTGTCATTCTGGAAAAAAAGTCATTCTTGGAAAAAAAAAAAAAAAAAAAAAAGTCATTCTGGAAAAAAAAAAAAATTTAACATTCATATCCTCAAATAAAGTATTTAAATTATCTGTTTATGGTTTTATCTACTTTATTTTTATGAGAAAAATGTCAATTCTTGTCAGTTATGTTGTGACTGTGTTTTCCTGCCACTAATTTCTGAAGCTGGATTAAAGTAGATTTATTTGTAAGGATTGAAGTTTTCTGGTTGAAATATTTGCTAATTTTTGATAAACATTGAACATGTTTTTCTAAATTCTCAAAATGTTTGTCTAATATGAAATATTACAATGGATTTACTTCAGATAATTGAAAAATAATTCTGCATTTTTTTCCTTTTTAATTTCACATCCAGATAACCAAAGTTCAGAAAATTGAGGGAATACTGTAAAAGAATTTCAACAAAATTACAATATGCTTCCATAGGAAATGTTCAAACAAGTTACATTCCAGAGTCCCAGTAGTTCAGACCATCACAGCGAGAACTCACCATGCCACATACACAGAGTTGAATCATCCTCATTCCCTATGCATTCTATTGTTAAGGAAGTTTCACTTTGACAGTTTTCTAAGAATGGCTACTTCCATGAGGATTCTTCCTTAATCACTACAATCTTTACTTCTTCAGATCAGGAGTCACCCATTATCTATAATACACATCTGTATAGTCTGCACTTACACCCTCCTCTTTTATCCATAAAGCAACCTCATTTATTCCCCCCTCTACCTTGAGTAGCTCTTGGGCCTGGTATAAAGTTAACATTTGGTTAAAAAAAAAAAAAAAAAAAAGACAAGACAAAAGTTTAACAGGATTTTTTCCATTTTGTTTATCCAACTCTATATAAAGTTTGTATATCATATGCTTCCATTATAAAAATGATAGGTTTATGGGTATATCAAGTTGAAACACCAGTTCTCATCTGATAACCAAAGTTAAGAAATGCCAAACCTGGTCAGTACTTAGATGTGTGACTGCTTGAGAATACCAAGTGCTGTAAGCTTGGATGTGCAGATGGTTTAAGAGAATGAGAATTGGAGAATAGAGTTCAAATTCCAGTCAGGTTAGTTAGATTTACTTTTGTACAAATATCCTTGGGAAAGTAATGAATACACCTTTTTTCCTACCAGCTATAGATTAAATAGAATTTTTATCTGAATATCATTATTTCAAAAAATTGTTAATACAATATTTACTCATGAAAAAAAAAAATTATTCTTACAATCCCAAACATGTTGTGGCTTTAGAATAGCCTACAAAAGATTGATAAGCCATAAAAAAATTAAAAATCAATCAAAAATGAAATATTCACAAGAAATAATTAAAAAATTACCATTGAACCTTCCATAACATTTGCTTTCCAAGTTGCTCAAGAGATTCCAACATTAATACTCAGCTAAAATGTCCATAGATTCCAAGACAATTAAAGATTTGTTTGCACCCAAAGGTTACAAGAGGCTACATGACATAAGTAGTATCCAGTTATAAAGTTATACCATGATCCTTTGATTTTTAGAAAAAAAAAAAAAAAAGGATTCACTTTAACTTGAAATTAATGTATTTGTGTTATGACTAGTGTGATATGTAATTTTGTTGAGTGTGGGTTGCTTTGTTTTAATGTAGATGGCCTCCAATATCTGAAGGTGTTTTTTACTGTGTAAGTATTATTGTGTTATCAACTAATAGCCATGTACATAAGATTAGACAGATATGTTTTTCTAAGAAATGTAGTTTAATAGAACTAGATCATAAAGGTGACAAGTAAGTCTACAGGAGAGTGTGGCTGTAGTAAAACCAATTTATGTAGTGGGTTTATTATGAGTATCAGAGACAGAATCTCTGAACAGGCATGTAAATTAATACACACTGGTTTTTTTGTAGAGCTTAAAAAAATCCAAATGTTGGACAATTTTTGTCTATTTTCACCCAAACTTAAAGGAACCATACAAAATTTAGAACAGCTCATGATCAAGCATAATAGACATTCACTGTCTGTTATATTTAACAATATATGTTTAAATAATAATCTGCTGTCCAAATATATATATATATATATATATATATATATATATATATATATATAAAATTGATTGTGTATTTGGGCAGCAATCCCATTTATACAAGTTTCATTAAAGCTAATTGACATGGAACTGCAATTTTTTTAAAGTAATTTTTCTTGTCTTCATATAAGGATTTTCTTTTATGGACATATAGTGTGTGAAAGTTGTCCAAATATTCTATATCACCAAATGTTTTTGGCTATTCTATAAGCCATTATCAAGGATATTTTTCTTAATTTTTAACTGAACATGTACATTTTTATATATGTTTCCAGAATGATGAAAACCTTTACATACTTTATATCCAAAAAAGAAAAGACTTATACAAATACAAGAAAGTTTAAATAAAAAGGTTCCTCACAATACCTTGTCAGTGGTCTTTAATGAACCTTATATATATATATATATACACACACACACACACACAAAATTAATAATAAATACATATGTTGTTCATCACCTATAACCTTAATGCATGATGGCACTGTCAGGTGCTGATTCAGCACATGATGATTGTATCAGTTCTACTAATGAACCAATGAAGGACAAGATGTATATTTATTAGTAGTATAATTTTTAGCTCTGTTGTTATAAACCAAAGACTGTTTTATTAAGACCACCTCTTAATGAGGTGTAAACACTTTTACATGAACATATATATTAAAATAATAAGAACAGAAAGATTTATAATCCGATGTTCCTAGTAATTATTTTTATTTTTAAAAAACAATGCTCGATACAAACAGTAGATCATGATATAATAATTTTCTTTTTTAAAAATATGATTCCATCACAACACATGTTTCTAGGTTTCAAAACTGAAACTAAAGTTGTAAGCACAGACAATCTTAATATTTTGAGTTGTTATGGTTAAGGAAAATTCAATCTGTTTCGATTAGGGGTGGTTGGGTTTTAATTTCCCTCGACAACTTATATATCAAATATATGTTACTTGCAAAGTCAGGTTAAGTTTAAGTGAGGTGGGGGTGCCTCTCACAAACAGACATCCATTAGTGTGTCGTCTGGATTTTCAATGACAAAAAATTTTCGTTGACTTTAACAACTCAAAATATTAAGATTGTATGTGCTTATAAATTAAGTAAATTTCTTAGAAAGTTATTCCTAACATTGCTTGACAATGGAACGAAAATCTGAATCTTAAGTTTAATTTTTATAATTTACAACTTTAGTTTCAGTTTTGAAACAGAAATTTCTGTGTCAGGATAGAATCATATTTTTAAAAAAGAAAATTATAATATAGTGTGTGTGTGTGTGAAACCATGTTTTATTTAAGTGCAAGTAACAACATATGTAAGTACATTCATAAGATTTGAATACTTTTTAAACATATGTGCATTGTCTGCCTCACTTCCTCTAAAAATCATGCATATATAAAACAAAGACACATATTTGCATTTGATTACAGAATAATATACTTCTGCAAACGCGCGTGTGTGTGTGTGTGTGTGTGTGTGTGTGGCATATATATATGTAACTGCATATACAAGCATGTTTTTGTAGAAACAATGACAGAAGCAATTTGACATTCTAATTACAGAGAACTTCAGCCGCTGCCTAACCTGATATTATCTATGCCTGACAAGGTAAGAACAGTGGACAAAAAGATGTCACCATCAGCTGAAATGACAATCAGGTGCAAATCCAAGATGAGAGAGAACTGCACACCATAAAGAATTATATGCACACACACGTGTGTGTGTGTGTGTGTATATAATTCTTGATATGTATGTTTTATATATATATATATATATATATATATATATATATAAAACATACACATATATACAAATAACTTGTCCAATAAAGTGACATATATAATTTAATAATAGTCATGGGTATAACCTGAAAGTTAATTTAAACCCTTTCAACAGGATAAACTTAAAAGAATGATGTCTTTATATTTGAATGTGTGATTTGAATGTTCAAAATATCCTTTGTACAACAAAGTTTTGTGTTCATCTTTGAAAGACCAAGTTGCAAACATCCACTAAAGTACTTCCTGAGAATTAATAATATGACAATTCTTTTTGATTGCACTCTAGAATAGTACAAAGTTTCTTAGATCTTGTGGCAGAAATTTTGTCTTTAATGAAATCAAGTTAAAATCTGTCCAAAGTTAATCAATACTGACTTTTTTCTTTATTTGTTTGGAAATTCTTCAAGACCTGGCATCACAATTATAATAAATACTTCTTACTTTTGTTATATACCTTCTATATGTATCCTGTATCTATATTTTAATACTGGGCTATATATATATATATATATATATATATATATATATATATATATATATATGCAGAAATATAGTTTTAAAATGTGCTATATTTATAGGATAAAGTGCTCAATATCAGAGATAGAGCGTATGTAAATATAAAAGTGAACACTGAAGTCAACACTCAGAGGCGACAGGCTGTTTCATGCTAGATCCAATTGTCAAGCCCTGAGTGTTAGATTTTTCTCAACTATATATATATATATATATATATATATGTATGTATGTGTGTGTGTGTATGGGTCAGTGGTGCATTGTGGGTAATCCATTCTGGCAGGAGTGGCTTGTTTATTTATGTAGACAGATGTTTTATTAATGTAGTAAAAAAATAACAGTTAGAACTAATAAAAATAAACATAAATAAGCAAAAACAAGTAAAAAATAATCAATCCAAATAAATAAATAAATAATAAGCAAATTAAAAACTGTCCCCTACTAAAATAGCAATAGACTATGGCAATCAATCCAAAAATTGAATGAATAAATAGCTTTATCTTCCCAGACCAAAACAAAATATTAAATAAGCGACCTAAACAAATCCCCACACCCAAATTTTTTACTACATTAAAACATTGAAAACCAAAAAGAATAAATAGATATAAAAAAAAAATGAAAATAAAAACAAGTAAAACAAATTAACCCAAATAAATAAACAAGCCACTCCCACCAAAATAACCACCAGAATGGATTACACACAATACACCACTGACCCATATATATATATATATATATATATATATATATATATATATATATGAATAGTTGAGAAAAATCCAACACACACAGCTTGACGATTGTGTCTAGCATGAAAGAGCCTGTCGCCTCTGAGTGTTGACTCCAATGTTCACTTTTATATTTACATACACTATCTCTAATATTGAACACTTTATCCCATAAATATAGCACACTTTAAAACTATATATATATATATATATATATATATATATAAAAATAAGTCTACATACATGCACAAGAAACATTCTAAAAAATGTTACATCTTAAGTAAATAAAAATAATTCTCTGAGCTTTAATGTGGAATGATAATTTTGGGATACTTTTTCTAAGTGAAGGTGTAGTGCTAAAATTAGTCTCAAATTTTTAAATATTTTTTTTAATTTAATTTCCTTGAGAATGAAAAAATTAAGATATTTTAAACTTTTCATTCTTAAAAAATAAATACCATTGATTTATTTTTTTTAAATAATTAACAAAATGACATTTTAATTTGAAAAATTACTGGATAGTTCAAATGATACAATTCACAAATGAAATGAAATTTCAAAGAGTTTATGCCAAATATTTATTTCAAATACCATTTTCTCTTTCCAAAGGCCTTTACTGAAATTCTTCCATTCCAGGTAAGATTAAAATCTTATTTAGTAAAGAGGTAGTTTCAGTTAAATAATTTGTTATATAACCCCATCTCACACACACATATATATATATATATATATATATATATATATATACACACACACATATGTGTGTGTGTGTGATCTGAACTTGACATTGAGCACATTTACCCATACATTAACATACCATACAACTAATATGCATGTTAAAAATATAGTTTCATTGTGAATTGCTTCAATCTTTATCAATTTGCGAAAAGGATGTAGTCTTGAATGGCCACTCTTCTAGATCT